GGCCATGACTGCTATATTTTATGGCTTGATGCATTATAGAAGACTATGTGGATGACAGCCTCGTCAAATTCAAAACTTGGGATTCCCACCTTCCCAATTTGAAAAGAGTATTTGACCGACTTCGAGAGCACCAATTAAAGCTGAATCCTTAGAAGTGTACCTTCGGTGTTGAGTCTGGCAAGCTACTTGGCTTCATTGTGAGTCAAAGAGGAATAGAAGTGGACCCAATGAAAGTTAAGGCTATCTCAGAAATGCTACTTCCAAAGAAGATTCAAAAAATTTGTGGGTTGCAAGGTAGAATATAAGCTATCCGGAGATTATATCCCAATTAGCTGAGAAATGTGCTCCATTCAATTGTCTCTTAAATACGGACACCCTGTTTATCTGGGATGAGGCGTGTCAAAAAGCAATGGACCGTATAAGGGAGTACCTTTTTAACCCACCGATCTTAAGTCCACGTGATCCCAACAAACCTCTATTCCTTTACCTTGCTGTGACAGATAAGACAATGGGGGCTATGTTAGGGCAATCTAATGACCAAGGAAAAGAGAAGGTCATCAACTGCATCAGTAATACAATGGTCAACTATGAAATACGTTACTCAGATGTAGAAAAACATTGTCTAACCTTAATGTTGGCAACTCAAAAGTTGAGGCATTATGTGTTTTCTCATACCATCAAGCTAATATTCAAGATGGATCCACTCAAGTACCTGCTAGAAAAACATGCTCTAAATGGACGATTAGCCAAATGGAGAATGCTCCTAAGTGAATTTGACATCGAATATGTTACTCAGAAATTATTCAAGGGGTAAGCAATTACCGATCACTTAGCTGAGCACGCTTTATCTGACGACTCCCAACATGCCTCCAGGCGATATACTCCTCCAGAGCAACATGAAGCTACAACTGAAAAAGATTACCGAAAAAGCATGAGGTGATCACTTACTCCTCCCTTTCAAATAAGCCAAGTGTGGCATCCATGCTCTGCTTAGGCATACGACTCCATAGTATTGACCACCTAAGGAGTTTTTTTAAAAAAAATAATGAAGAAAATGAGTTTAGTCAACCCAACAAGAGATTGAAGGATTAGGAACCTCATAGTGACTTCGAGTCTGAAAACAAAGCTCGAATGAAGCAGTCCAAGGAGGAAATATTCTATAAAGATTTGACAACATTTTTCAAGGAAGTGTCAGATACCAACTGGGAGCAAAGAAAATCTAAGGATAACTAAGACTAGGGCTTCCCTACCACTTGGAAGAATGAAGGATGATCGAGTTCTTATCCTTTTTTTTAAGATGAAGTGTCCCAAGAAGGAAAAAACGTCACCAACTCTTCTCTTCCTCCTCTGTTTCCATCTTCTTTAAAAAAAATAAAAATAAAAATATTCTGCTGAGATGAAAAATCAAAAAGGAATCTTGAGCGTCGGAAAAAAAAAAAAAAAAGCCACTAGGCTGAACACCCCAAAAAGACCCTAGCGGCAAAAAAAAAATAAAAATCCACGGGGCTGAAAATCAGAAAGGAACCTCGAGCTTTGAAAAAAAGCTACCGAGCTGAACACCCAAAAGGGACCCCAGGGTGATAGAAAAATATAACTTCTCTATCTTTTCGTCTCTTCTCCAAAATCTTCAGAAATTCTTCTCTTCTCAAGTTAAAATGGCATAAACAACGAAGGAAAGCATCAGTCCAAGTAAAACATGAAGATGCTCGACCATCTGAACTTCAAAATAGTGGTACTGGAAGAACAAAATTAGAAGTCCAAGGATATTCTGAGCATACCCCATAAAATCCAATACACCAGTTTGCTCGAAAAAACAAGAAAAAGTCTTCATTGAATTGTGACATAAGAGCCAAGATTAGAAGATGAGTAAGTACTTAGTGATTCATCATCTTGAAAGTCTCAAGTAGAGGCTCAACAAGCTCATGACAAAAAAAAAAAAGGGAGAAGAAGAAGAGAGAACTCCATGGTAGCATGAGCCTAAACTGCTTACCAAAACTTGTTTTTCAAAATTTATCATCAATCAAAATTTCTCCTATATGTCTCGTGAGTTTTCAAAACCCTTAATTTCTTTGGTTAAAATGTAACCCAAACTCTGTTTTTGTTTCAAAATTCAATCTATCTTCAAAACTTTCTAAAATATTTTAAAAAATCGAATGAGTTTCATGTAGGCTGATTTGATGCGTCTGCTGCTACGAAATCTTAGATTGCCATATTTGCAACGCCTTAGGAAAATAAAGACCAACCCATAGGTTCCCATACTAAAAAGCCTGGACCTGTGGACCCCAAGAATCAGAATTGAAGACGGACAAGAAGTTCAACTAGCCAAAAATTCATCATACCATCATTTTTTCTAAATCAAAATCTCATTCAATCGGAAAATCAGACCCTAAAAAAGAGGTATAAAGTTGAAGATGACTACACTGGCAGCTTCTCAGGTAGCATTAGAGTGACTACAACAGGGAATGTCACTGGCTCAAAGATAGCACGGTTCCTGTTGACTGTCACTTCGGATCCCGATTGTCTAAGACTTCTCAATCACACTGACTCAAAAATAGTAGTGCCAGTTCAATGTCTTACGGATCAAAAGCATCCATCAGTGCACCTTCTACCCAAAGGGTACTGGTCATTCAAAAGAATGATCCATCGAAAAAGGTTTTCCTTCCCACCGTGTCTCAGGTATCTACTTCTTTGCCATTCACGTGGTACCTCATGTGAATGCCAAAGATGGGCAATTGTAGATACCCCCAACAAAATTCTTGCTAAGGGAACTCCTAAAACCTCGATTCTGGTTTTAAAGGACCATACAAACCCTAGTAGACCATAGGCAATCTAGACCAAATTTAATGGCTCCAAAATTACTTAAATCATATCCCAACTTGAATTAGAGCATGTGATTATTCCAACGGTCTAAGAATCGTTTGAATCGGACCTACGGATAAAATGATATAACAAATGAGAATTTAGTCCCTGTGAGACCGAAGGTCGGGCAGCGGGCCTGTCTGTAACACTGCCCGATAGGCCTATACGAGGCTCGATGGCGCAAACACAACCTGATGACCCAGTAAATGAGTTTTATGATGCAATAAATATGTTTTCTTGAATTAGATAAGGCTAAAACTTCAAGATAAATCTAAAACATTTCAAAAAAATTTCAAAAAAATCAAGAAAAATCACCAATTGAATCTTATGAATACCCCCTCTCCCTAATCCAACAAAAAAAGGACGAAAAAAGGATAAAAAAGGAAAGAAATCCCTTAGAAATTTTTGAAATTAGAAAAATTGCCCAAAAATAGAAAAAACCCTAAGAAAATTCTTAAAAAAATTAGAAAAAATCTCAAAAAAAACCAAAAAAATCAAAGAAAATCCTAGAATTCATATTCAACTTCTGAAGATCTCAAAACCATTGGAAAACTAAAAAAATTCTCCTCCAGTCCTAAGAAAAGCCTAGGTAGAGCCCACCTAACATTCTTAGCTTTTTCCAATGCCTTAACAACTCTAGATCTAGGTCAAAGAACGTTAGACATACCAATTCTAGCAATCAAATGCATAAAAAAAAAGAGATAGTGGCGCAGATCGGATCGTAAACAAGATAGAATTTAAATGAATACATACAAGGGAACTTAGGTATAGCTATAATAGGTAATAAGATGAGGAAAAAATATACTTAGCTGGTTTGGCAATATGTAATGTAGACCTAATACAACATTGATTCAGGTGTACGATTTGGTTCAAGTCGAAAGCTCTAGAAGGGCACGAGAAAGACTCAAAAGAATATTGATAGGAGTAGTGACAAAGTATAAGGTGACTTTTGGTTCTATTGAGGTTATATACTTTGATAGAGAAAAATGGAGAAATAAGATTCATGTAGCCAATCTTAAATAATTAATATAATACTTGGATGATGATGATAAAAATATCCTCTTTTTTTTAAAATTTTAAAAAAATACTCAATTCTTTTTAAAACTACGTCTATAACCATTTTTCCACACTCTTCTTTTATTTACCCAAAGTACCCTTCATATATCACAATTATACTAGAACCGTGACATAAAGTACCACAATTCCACTAGAACCTTAATAGTCCCGACTTCACCTATGACAAATGCTCTTTTGTTCTCTCTCTCACTTGCACACACACTCACTGTCTCTCAACCATGGTAATCCAGGAAGTATGACGGTGCTCTGAGGTACATCATTGCAATGTTAGTGATGTGATGGTGCATCACGGCTCTACTGCACATGTGTATCGTGGCAATGTTAGTGCGATGATGAGGGATCACAACTCTGACAATGCTCAAAGCACCTAATGGGTGCTCTGGATTATTCAGAAGCACCATGGTTTAGAGAGATAGATGGTTTTAGAGAGATAGAGAGAAGAGAGAGGGAGGGAGATTCCGCAAAAATGAAGTAGGAACTGCAACACAACAGATTTATTAGAACTGCAATACATGAGCATTTTGGGTAACTAAAATAAAAATAAAATGAGTATGGTCAATTTTTAGAAAAATGCTTTTTAATAATTATCAGAAAAAGGGCTTCTCTTTGCGAATGATCTCTATAAGTATTGATGGCAAAAAAAAAAAATCCAATTTAATAAAAAAAATATATATAATGAGACCATTCACGTTTGATACAATATGTCAAAATTATTATTGACCTTTAAATTTAAAAAAAGCTCGTCAAACATATATCATTACATGACACAGTTTAAAATATAATTTATTTAATACTATGATATTTTAGGTCAATCTAGTGTGACATATTTTCATGTATTGGATTTCACATGCAAATGATATATGTAATGAGACCGCTTACTTTCGATACAATGTGCTCGCAAGTTTAAAATAAAGAGTCAAAGATGGATCATTACTTGAGGAGAAGTCCAAAGTATACTCTCTAATATTACGATATTTTTTAGATGAATATACTGTGACACATTTTTTATGGATTGGATTTCACATCCAATGGCTATATTTTTGTACCAAAAATAAACCGTCTCATCGTATCCTATACTTCAGGAAACGTACATCATCTCTTTCTCTGTCTGGCAAAATCTCCATCGTTACTTTCTCACTCTGGCGAATATATCGCAATCGCAAGAAGCTTGATCTTGAACCCACGTCTGGTTGGGAAAACCAGGTCCACCCTCTCTCTCTCTCTTCTCTCTCTCTTTCACACAGAAGAAGAAGAGGAGGAAGAAGAAGAAGACCTGCTTCGCCCATAAGCTTGCTATTCTCTATAGAAGAAGATTCAGGTACAAACCCACATGCTCATTTCTTTGTTTTTAGATCCCCGTTTCTTCTCTCTCTCCTCATTTCTTTTCTATTCTCACCATCTCTGTGCCAGCGCCTTCTTCAAAAGTCCACTTTGGTAATCATCTTTGCCATCTTCTTACTGAACCCTTTCCTTCGAATCCCTATTTGGTGAAGAATCATGGAGATATCAGCCTTATGTATGGCTGATATGAGGTATTTCTCTTTAATCCTCCCTTGAATCTAGGCTTGCTAATTCAATTGTGGCGTTTTCGTCTATATCGAATTACATTAAGGTTATGTGTGATTCTCTTCTATCTTTGGGCTTTTATTCGAATCTGGATAAAAATTTTAATCCTCTGCTAACTTTCAATTTACTTGCTGTTATGATTCATGATGGTGGTTTTGCTCCATTTTATCATTATGTCTTAGAAAGATTATACATTTTTTCCCCTATCTATTTCTTTAGTTAATATTCTGATCTGTTATTTGAGATTTTTATTTGAATCCTACCACTGTACTGCCCCTCAAAAAGAGGGAGGGAGGGAGGGAGGGAGAGGGAGAACATATATGACAAGCATTTAAGAGGATTTCGTTAGGAGTGGATGTAATATATACAAAAAAGAAGAATTTTATGGGAATGATGTGAGCTTGCTCACCTCTAAGCATCTTTATTGGAAGTTCTGCAAATTTGTATAAATACTTGGTTGTTAAATTTTGCAAGTTTTTTTTGCTTGATGGTTCTTGGGGATGTAATATCTTAATATTTTCATGCATAACCGCATGTTGAATACATATTTTAGTGGGGCTTCTTTTTTCTTTTCTATTTATGGACACGTCATATCCATGGTCATTTAAGTTGGAGTTTGATACCTCTGTAAAAATGAAATTGTTCGTATGCAAAACTAGGTTTGCTTCTGTATGCTAGAGTAAACTTGTATGACCTCATAGAGAGATTGAATATGGAATTTTCGAACCACAAATTGCCATGAGAGGCTCTATAAGATGCTATGACCTTTACTTTAGAGGGTGATCAGGTGGAGAACCACAAGAAACTATGATGTGTTTAACAAACACTCAAGGGTAGGATGATTAGTGGAATAGTGGTTAAAGAAAATGACCTGTATGGTCTATCCTTGATGGGGTTTGAGAGTCATAGTTTCCATGATGGATTTACAAACTAGCATAATTCAAGCTGCCATAAAATTGAACCTTAGAAACTTGATGGAAGCTGTCAAAGGTGATTGATAAATATTCTCATAAGTTGTATCAATTGGATGAGCATAGAAAACTATCTTAATAATGAAGACGAAACCATTTCTGTCACTAAGTTTGGAAAGAAATGGTGTTCCTGGATTATTACCTGCATCTAATCAGCTGGTTTCTCATTCCTTCTCAATGGAATCTCTTATGGGTTCTTCTCATACGCTAGATGCCTTCATCAAGGTGATCCATTATCCCCTTTCCTATTCTCATTTATCACGGACTCTATCACAAGAATGGTCTCCCGAGTGCATATGTGGCCTACTTGACCAAGGATTCAAAGCTAGCAAGGTGGATATCACATCTACAGTATGTGAACGATACCTTGATATTGTGCAACCTTTACCTAAAACAGGTGGATAATGTTTGGCTATTCCTAAGATGCTTCAAGTTTGCTTCTGGACTTTGGGTAAATATGAACAAGACAAGACTGTTGAGAGTGATATCAATAAATGTAGTGTTTCAAAAAGCGCTAGGCGGTGCCTAGGCGGTCGGGGGGTCTAGGTCGCCAACGCCTAGGCGAAAGCCTAGAACCTGGGCGGCCCAGTAGAAAGAACTGAAAATCTTCTTAAAAACCCTGTAATAGATTTATAACATATCCAAAACTAAATCTGTTATCAATGGGTGATGCTTCGATCAATTGCTCGTAACTTTGAGAAACCCTTCTATCCTATGGAAATCACCAAAAACTAGTTTTTTGGGGTTTTTTTCTCTAATGGGTTTTAGGTTTCAAATGAACCCCCAAATCCTCAATTTTACCTTTTTAGTATTAAAAAACAATACCCTCAATGAGGGGCATTTCCGCCCCTGTGCGGGGCGCAGGCCCTAAGCGGATTGAACCCCTTGCCCAGCGAATATCTTGGATTACTCATTTGAGTGGGAAAGGCAAAGAAAATGCATTGGAATGGTGTCATTGAGAGACCTGTGAGGCGTCTAGACTCTTGGAAGTGTCACTATACAATGTAGGAAAAATCGAGCGATTCAAATTCTAACCGCCCGGTTAGACCCGGTTAAATCGAAACAAGCCACTAGCCTATTCCGCTTTCAACCGTTCTTGATGAACCAACCGGGTATTTTTAAAAAAATTTTAAAATTTTTTTAAAAAATTATATAAAATCCCGAAAAATAGAGGATTTTGTTTGTAATGCATTTTTTAATGGTTTTTATCATTTTGGAAAAAGATTGGAAATTGTTTTGCCCATTAATACTTATTTATACATTTTTCCATCTTTTTTAAAACATTTTAAAATCCATTTTTTCATTAATTTTCAACTTCATTGAAATGTGCTTTGTTTAGTCATGCTTTAAATATACTTTCATATTTTATTATATTCTTTTTATTTTTTTAATAATTTGTTGACTGCCCGGGACTTGCCCGGTTAGGCTGGTTGAACCGCTTCAAGCCTCATGTTCGGTTAACCATTCATGTTCAATTTTTCCTACATTGCCTCACACTCATAAAAGCGGCACTTTCTAATGTACTTTATGTTTTTTTTTTCACATGCATGAATGAGTGGTAAAGAAAATTGAGCAACTACTTTCTGTTCTTTGGGGGGTCTCTAGGTCCAACACCACTTAGTAAATCAAGAGATGGTGTGCTGCACCAAATATCAGGATGGTCTTGGTATTAGAAAACGGAGAAAGGTTAATGCAGTTCTCTCGTGAAAATGGAACCGATGATTTGGGGATTCAAAAAATCATCTGTGAAAGGAAGTGATGACCTAGAAGATCCAATGCCCCAATGGATGGTGGATTGAGAGTCGTCACAGGCTGAGACACATTTCAGGAGCTTAGAGGGATATCAGTAACACCACAAATCAATTCTCAATCTTCATTAGATTCAAGGTTGGATCTGATCTTAGAATTCAGTTTTGGTTGGCCTTGTGGTTAGGGGCACGACTATTACCTTAGAAATTCCTTACATTGGCAAACTAGCCGCTACATCAATTTCGGTTCCAGAGTTCTTTGAAAGAACAAATGGTCGAATCTCATGGAACCCAATGTTTAGGCTGAATTTCAAAGATGGTGATCACAGGCTACATCCCACTGCACAAGCTTCTTCAGCAGGCATTCATCCCAATTTTAGGGATGGGGTAAGGTGGTCTGGAGCCTGAGCAGCAAGGGTATCTTCTTAGTAAGGTCCTTTTACTGATCCCTAGCTCATTCTTCACTCCCACTAGCAATAACGTGAAAGTATGGGCTCTCCTAGCTCCAAGTTCCAGTATCCGGTTGGCTGTTCATTTTAGAGAAATGGGCTTACCCCCCACTTCTAAAGTTGGGCCTTATTCTTTGGCATTTGGCGTGGTTAACTATGGCTTCTTTGGTTAGAAAGGCAAGGACTAATTGGTTAGGAAGAGAGCCCGGCCCTAATTGGTTAGCACTTGACAATTTGCAACGCTACGTCCTAGGCTCAATTCCTACTAAGGGTAGGGGCCCTTTCCCCATGGACTCACCCAAAAAAAAAGAGGGAAGGACTTTCCAGGGTAAATACTGAAACGTAGCCAAAATCGTAGAAAGATTTTGCTCTTTGTTAGGATCATCCCAAAAAAAGAGTTTTGGGATATACACAAAGAGATCTATATCTACATTGGCAATATAGAGCTACAACCCAAAGTGCAAGAGACTTCATAGCCAAAATTGAACCCCACTTCCCCAAACACCATTTAGTTAAATTTTGATGTTGGCTCTAGGGGCAACCCAGCCCTAGTAGCTATTGGAGGCACTTTTCGGAACTGCCACCAGGAGAGATTGTGCTTGCTGTATTCTGGCCCTGCTGGTACCTGCACTGCTAAGGAAGAGGAAGCCAAGGTCTTTACTTGGTCCTAGAATAT